ACCCAAATACCCTACACGCCTGCCTACCAGAGCAGAAATGTGCAGGATTTTATGGCAAGGGAACTTCATGTCTGTCCTCCCAGTTTCCATCAGTCACAGCAGCCCGGACATGGCCTTTGCTCCGAGTGGTACGTCACATGTCGCTCCACACAGTCAATGATGGGGAAACATCACAGCGATGTGTTTGGGAGTCCATCCAGCCGAGGCAGGTGGGGAGGGAGTCTCTGCTGCACCTCAGTGCACAACGGGAAACCCATGAGCGCAAATGATCTCTGCACTCGTTGGTGCATGCCCCTGCTCCACTGGCTCGGTTTGTCACTACAGGTGGGGCTGTTGCAAGCAAACCAGATTACTGAGGCCATACGGATCCTTTTTATGTTTTATAAAACATGTAGTGCTGGCTGCTTGGACCATATAACATACAAGAGCCACCACTAAATAAATGTACTGTATAAAGCCTGATCAAATTCTTTTCATTTTCTTCCAAGCAGGAACTAATGTCTACCTCAGCCAACCACATCTGGAGAGCCTCCAAGCGGGCCGACTTGAGACAACAACGCGTGGCAGATTGAAACTGATGGAGACACATAGGTCACATGATTCTACAGCTCTTTCTTCCAGTTTCTCTTAAGAGTGCATCATGAACAGCAAAGCATAACCAAAATGAGCACACCTGCAAAAAAACACACATGCTAAATCAAGGAGTTGGCTTCTGCTGCCAAGGCAGCTCACTACTATTCAGTAGGCCAACATATCAAACGAACTATCCCTCTAATAAGCACACATGAGACCTGACAGCCATGCATAAAAAGTCCTCTGTTTACAATGAATATTCATAGTGGGGTGAAATAAATTTAAATGCTTCCCACCTCTGTTAATCTTCATTCTGGCAGTGAGGCTGCGCTGAGCACAAAGCGGAAAGCAGGGAGGCAGAGGTAGACTGAGGGGAAAGAAATGAAGGCAACTCTCAAAAACTGAACACACGACAGCGGGAAGGGAAACCGAAAATGGAATCGCAAACCCAATTTTTCCCAGGATAACCAGAATGATGACAGCGGTTAAGATATAGGACAACATATTCCGAACTCATCTGATATGAGATGTACACATACACGAGTGCACGGTGGTCCCATTCATCACGCGGCCTCACATGCAGTCAAGATAAGAATCCGAAGCAATGTTTTCCTCCATCGCTGCTTTGTCAGTGAATGATTGCCGGAAGAAGCAGGAGCCGTGACGGACATGAGGGGCTCTCGCATCACGGGAGGGGAGGCAAAATGTGGTTTTGATTTAAAATTCCGACTGAAAATCCATCAAGATTTGCTGAACAGATGCATCTGTCAAGCTGGTGGCGACACACAAAATGGACTGCATAATCCCATCCTCTTTGGCTGTAGCGGGGCACAGGTATGCGTGTGTATATGCGTGTGAACATGCACGGCTGCGCAGACACCAGATCTATATTCATTACTGGACTTGCCTGGACACCTCAAAATTGCGGATTTAGGGCTTTTTCTTTTGGAAAAACCTGCATTTGTGTGTGAACGGGAGAAAGCGCACATCACCTTGATGGTAAAGGGAGTGCCGTTTTCATGCAGGGGTCGAAGCTACACGCAGTTATCGATAACATATTTAGCCAACGCTGAAGGGGACCTGCCAAAAGAGATAACCTCTTCCAAAAATCTGTATCAACCAGATATATATGTTTACAGATATGGGTTAAATGAATAGTGCCATGATGATTATTGATTCTGCCACAGAAATATTTGCATTGTTTACTGCTGAGGAGCAAAGTACATTTGACAGCATAAATAGCTCTATAACCAGGCAAAGGAACTGAATGTCTATATGCCTAAAAAAGAAGAAGAAAAAATCAGTTGAGAGTGTGATAATATTCAAAAGAACATGAATATGTTTCATCACAATAATTGTTTTATCAAAATTTAAGTAACTGAGGTTGAAAAATACTCTTTTTGCGGTCTGTGTTTTCTCTCACACGTGCGCGCACACACACACACACACACACACACACAAAAACACACTTTGGATACGTGATTTGTGGATCTGGGTCATTGGTTTTGGACAGGAAAAGTTACAGTGCCATTCTTTCAGTGTCCCAGAGGAGTACACATTAAAACATCTTTGGACTGCCTCAGTATGGGGCCCTACTTTCAATGAGCCATTAGTTGGTTGGGAGTCGCACATCTGCCACAATAGAAACTCTCGGAGTTGTCAATCAAGTTAAAAGGGAATCAGTGGTCCATGAAGGAATTTTTATTTTTTTATTTCTTTTGTTTTTGTAGAGAAAGAGATTTTAAGCTATTTGTCCTCAGTGGTAAAAGAACAAATCAATTGGTGTCCACTTTAGGAGAGTTGGACCACTCTGTAGAACACGAGAGGAGGTTCTATACGGCACAGCTGCAATTGAACTGTCAACTTAACCACTTCATGCTTAAGTGAGTATAGCGGAGAGAAGGATTCTGCTGGGCGTGAGAATGTGTGTGTGTGTATGTTTATGTGTGGGTGCGTGTTTCACATCTACGCAGATGTGCCTCCATGCCAGACTAATTCATTCTGTTGTGTATGCAGGAAAACACGGGATCACAGCAGGACATCAGCACCGCACACAAGTCTGTTTGAGTTGCTCCTGGTGAGCTCAGATACCCCCAAACCTCCATATTCCCCTCACAGAGCCGTGTCTCGTGTCCTCGTCGGTAGAAAGCCATGAAAGAAAAGACAGGGCTGGCTGCAGACCCGTACCGCCGCCCCAATCCCTCCCCGCACCCTGTCCACCCTCAGCTAGAGTCTCAGTTTGCAATACAGCCCCAAAGATCTAAACTAAAGACGCCTTTTTTTCTTCTCGTTCTCCATCACCTGTTATGTCCCCGGAGCGAGCCGCACACATTCATGTGGCAGCAGGAAAAGACACTGTGTTTATCTGAAGTAATGACACGTCAGGAGATGCTCGCCTGCATGCTTTGATGGTGAGCCAGCATCTGTCACAGGATCCACAAAGTGTGAGAAACACCCACATGCGCAGGCGCACGAGCCAGGAGACTGACCAAAGCTTTGTGCGCAAACAGAGATGAGAGGATAAAGCAGCTCTGAAGCACGCTGCGGGAGTAAAAGGGACCAATTTACTAAGCCAACCAAAAATTACTGCCTTGGCTGCGAAGATTTGCGTTGGCGCATGTTTCCAATTTAGCTGGGAATTAACGAACACTCACGATGCAAGCGGTCACAGGCTCAGTCAAGTTCATTTCAATGCCCTGCTGATAATTAAGACTGGCTGCTGGGCTATGAAACACGAGTGAAACACGAGTGCAAAAGAAAAGCATACGTTCTCTGGTACTGAGCTTGAAATATTGGTTGAAGAAACCAATAAAAACATCTCTGAATTGCAGCTGTGCAATTCCCCCCACTGCAGTGGACAAACGGCGATGATGAATCACCTGCAGCCCCCATTTGGATAAATTCCCATTCCCTCTGCACAAGTCCTATTTTGCAGTGAAACATAAAAAGGTCCCAAAGTGTGTCGCATACAATAAGTCATACGTGCAATGTTGTCTGTCACCAGGACAAAACTTAAGTAAAACAGCCCTTTTAGGGATGTCATAACTATCAGCAAACCCTGCGTTTATCAGTAGATATAAGTATATCAACCCTCGAGTCGGGCCGGGGTTTTATGAAGACGTCTTTTTCCCTTTTAACTCCAGAGTTATCAGTCTCCCCATTTCCCCAATGCAATATAGGTACTGTCATGGAAATATATGTCCCGCTCCTTTTACTCAGTTTATCTTTGTCTGCATCATAACCAGGGCCGACAAAGGCAGCGCCCAGGCGCTGGAGCACGAATGCAGCAGGAGTGGCACCTCGCTGGATGACAACCAACCTGGGTGCACTATCAGAAGGCCACTGCTGTAGGAGAGGACGCTGAATAAAATATAAAGCGAAGGGAGAAATATATATTGTATGTGTTGGGCAGGAGAATGAAAATGAAAGCTCTGTGTGGGTGCAAACGTGTCTTAAACTATCTTTATGCTGGATTTGTGTGGCAGGAATTACATTTCAGGCAATTCCTTGCAAAGCTTTGTGCAGATGTGTTGGGGCATTAATCCAAATCGTAACCAGGGATTCAAAATAAGTTTTAAAAAATAAATAAAATAAAAACATGAGAGAAAGTGAACCGAATTAGAGTGTGTGAAGAAAAACTGAGCAGGCACAGCCACTAAATATAAGTAATAAAAACACAGGCTTACAGACATTAAATAAACAGCGACGAGATTAAATTTGATAAACTTCAACCCTGATAAAGCACAGCCATGCGCAAGTCCTGACGCAGGTCTGCAGACTCATGTAGCACAAATAGGACGCGTGGAGTTGCACAATGTACACAAGTACAATCACAAACATATAACATTGAATAATCACATTTAATCTACACATTAACTTGGAGCTAATAATAATTCACAGAATATTGAGAATGTTTAATAACTACATGTTCATATTACTATCTAATCAGTGGGCTGGGATCATTTTTTAAAAAAAGAGTGCAAAGGAAGCTGTGCTACTGGACCCAAGGCAGGACCAATCACCAGAAAGCAGACTTCATTCATCTAATCTCCAGTTAACCCGGTTAAAATATGGTTGAGAATTAAACCTTAAAACTGACCGAAACAAATCCCCAAATCACTGAAGTGAAAATGTCAAGTCCTCAAATCCAGCATTGAAGGTCTTGTTTCTTTAAATAGATATCCTTCCTATTCCTTATTGAAATCTGAGAGTTTTACAAAATTGGGTAAGCACTGCTGTTTCAGAAGCTTAATGTGTTAAATAGGAAAACGGCATTTCCCGGTTTACGGATATTTACTTTCACTCTAACTTAGATATCTTATTGACTACTGTACAAAAAAAACACCAAATTCTGCAAAGGCACGTTGCTCCTTTTTCTGAGGGGGAGCGGGCCGCGTGGTGCTCGTGTTTGAGTCTCTTCTACTTACTCAGTCTCTTTGCAGCTTCCAGGGCTTCAGAAGCCGTGTCGGCCACATAGAAACGTTGGACAGCCACGCCGCTCTCTTGCATCAGCTTCTTGCTCTGGTACTCTTGCAGATTCAGCCATCTTCTGGGGGTCGAGCAGGTGCCCTGGAAGGAGAGGAGAGGGAGGAGGGCAAGGGTGGTACGGGGGGGCAAAACAAAAGTATAAGGATCTCTTAGTGAGGCAAAGATATCTAAAGCAGTGCTACAAAGGGTCCCAACCTCAAGCGTTAAACCATAAAACAATAACACCTGCCTCAAAGTCCACAGGCTACAGACATCCGTTCTCCTCCTCCCCCTCCCACCCAGCCCTCCTCCCTCCCTCCCGCTGTCCTTCTCCTGTAATGAGGCAGGCACCCGGGCCCGCGCTGCAGGACCGCTCTGCAGCCGTTTTGCTCCATCAGCAGACAGAGGCCGTGTCAGCTCCAGCTGTTGTTGCTATTAAAAGGAAATTGGCTTTTTAATGTGACGGAGACACAGAGGCCGTGTTAGAGTTACGACGTCTCCTCGATAGCACGCTCCGCCCTGCGTGCGTGCGTAGAAGTACACACGGGCGCACAAATTCTTGCACCGGGAGGGAAATCTTCAGGGAGTCGTTAAGGAGAGAAAGGCCATTACAGTAAGAGGGAAAACAAGGATTGAGAGGGAAATAATGGTTGGGCATGTAAATGGTTCCACAGTGTGTGTACTTATTTGCTTAAAGGTAACGATACAATAATGACATCAGGGCTGCACTAGAAGGTAAACTGACTTAGCCTTTTATCCACTAACTCTGCTGTGGATAAACGAACACGGCATTAGTTTACTTTAGGAGCTCTGCGTGAACAGAAGGAGCACATCTGCACCTCGTGACCATGATAATCTTGTGCGTTTTAAGACTAGGATGCCGTATGTGTACAGACTGTAAAGCCCTCTGAGGCAAATTTGTAATTTTGGGCTATACAAAATAAAATGAATTGAAGACTACTGAAATATTGCTTGAGGTACATTTTCAATGCCACATCAAGAGGAAAATCCAATGCTCCATCACACCAACTGTGCTTAAGTCTGCACGGTCGATATTCCACTCTTCACCACGGTCATCTTTTAAGAGAAGTATCTGCGGTGGGTTTTGTGGTCAAAAGTGGCAAAAAAAAAAAAAATATTCCTTTCCGTCAGGACGAACACGAATTAAAATATAGCAACGGCATCAAGCAGGGCACCACGCCTCGATATTGTATCTGTGCCCTTGGAAACGGACTGAAAACCACAATCGCTGTCTGGTGAAATGATTCGACAAGAGCAAAAGCGGACAAAAGGCTGCACACGGTGGTGCTGTAAATATTTAGATAACCTTATGCCAACACCGTCTGCGTCATAAAGGTGCAGATGTGGCCCATGAATTCACGCAGAGCTCCTAAAGTACGAATGTCCAGCACATTGACAGTGGATGACAAGTTTGCTTGTCAAGTTCAAGTTCACTTTGTTATTTTAATCTTAACAGGATTAGAAAGTACAGACGCAGAACTTCCCAGGAAATTTAAGAGATTACCTTAAAGAAAATACACATATATTATCTAAAACACTGCATATACAAGGAAGGATGACATGCAATGAAGAATAAAGAAAGACGCATTGTAGATGAATTGTGTAAGTCTTCTAAAGTTGCCGTTCACTGCGTCCTCCAGGTGGGGGAAATAACAAGAACACTTTTTGTTTAACATCTCTCCACCACTAAGGGATGAGGAAGTGAATTGTAACCATAACAAACACTGGGGCATGATAGTTATGAGTGATTAAAGTCTAAAGCTTGACATGACCACTTATTGGGGCACAGAACTTTTTTTAAATTTTAAACTGAAAAACAAAACCACAGGATTGTTGATTTACTGCTCATGCCAGAACCAAGGCTCTCCGTGCCACCTAGCGTGCTCTATTAGCACGCGTTCTCCCCCTCTACTCTCCAGAGGGCCTGTCGGGAGACCACAATGGAGCCAAATGGGTTGTTTTCTAGAAGAACCGTACATGTTGATTCAGATTGTTGATCCAGTTATTCTCTCAAGCTACTCCATTCCGTAAGGAGGGGCATCCGCAGGTCACCTCTGCAATATCTTACCGTTCATATGTTCAGGTTATTGCCGTTTGTGCGTGTGCGCGCGGCAGTCGGAGCAATTCTTTAAGGTTGATCCTTCACACCAGCAGATATTGAAGCGACTCTGGGTTGAACAGCATGACAAAATGGATCCGTATGTCTGTCGGGTGACAACTGAAGTGTGTATGTGACGCCATCTTTATTGTTGTGCCTGCCCGTCGACTTTAACGGGACACATGCCACCGCCTAAACACGGCGATTTGCAGGACAAGTTCTCACTGTTCTGTGCACTCATTGGATTGCTGTCAGGTACTTGCAGAGCCCCTGCTCTTACCCTCCCATCTAAACTGTTGGCCTGTGGGAGGATGAGCTCTGCTGCCTGGGTGCATGTCTCCATCCGTCGAGTCCACCTCTTGTTCGACCTTTGACTGGAAAATAGCAGATGAGAGCCCGTCACAGGGCCAGGACAGGCACAAGATCACAGCCAGCCGTACAAACTCAGGTACCACAATAGGGATTTGTTTCTGAACCCCCCGCCACCCAAAAAGAAACCATATGAAACAGCAAACTAAGCTCAACGTGCACAAGCTTTGTCAATGTGAGACAAAATTAACATTGAGTATGGCTTCACTTTTATAAATAACAGAATGCTTTTACGAAATTTAGAAGGATGAATCCCCTGCCCACTGCAGGGTGTCACAATTGTATCCAACAATTATTCATAAAATGGCTTAGAAATGTTGATGTGGTCTCGGCACAGAGAGAAAATGAATAAGTCTTAATAGGACAGTTTGATACTGCTGGCACATCACAAGAGATCCAACTGCAAACAGAAGTTACACCAGGTTCGCCAAAGCAAAAAAGGTCCCAGTGAGGTTTAGAGCACAGAAAACCCTCACTGGATAGAGGAACAGTGCAGAGACCCCAAAACATCAGAAAACATTGTTAAACCATTAGCGAACGACAGCAACGAGACCCGGAAGCCACTGCCGGGATCTAAACCAGCTTTTCCAAAAGCTTTTTTGTCAGGGACCCCCTTTGAGGATACGATGGCGTTTTAAGATTGTTCCTTTTTTTTTTTACCGTTGTCGGCCAAGGTGTTCCTCCAGGCACCTTGAGCGAAACACAGAGGAACGGAAAGGAACCAGAGAAGGTTTCGGCGGCTTCCAGACTCAGAGACAGCCTGTAACTAAGACGCCACCCCATAAACAACCATGGTGCATCTTTACTCTCATTTAACCGTCTGCCAAATAGCTGTACCTTGTCATAATAATGTGTTAGTAATCATATAAACTTGATCAAAATAATGATATTTGAAAGGTGGAAAGAAGGAAAAAAAGGATAAGAAAGTTTGCTGCAGTGTCATCATTTAGAATATTTCTGAACATGGTTCATTATTTAAGCTGTTGTTCATGCATGCATAGCTTCAATTATTAACTGAAGGGAACACAACTTTTGTTTGCATGTTGCCTTCATCTCCCATCTGCCACTTCAAACTTTATGTTGTTAGTACATAACCACAGAGATATGAAGACCGTCAGCAGCAGAGTGTGTTGTGCACATCAAATCCAAACAATTATTCTCAATCTGCAATATTAATGCATAAAAGGTACACTGCAACTCTAAGATATATTTTACTGTCACCTATGAATTTGCAATTGTCCCCTAAGTGTTGTAATATCATCATGTTTTAATGTTGTTACATTCATATTTCCAAGATCCTTGCTGTTAATTCATATTGTGAGTATCAAAGCTTAATGTTCCACATCAACAATTGAGCGCCCTAACTAACAAATCAAAGCCAATTTGCCACACTAGACTTGATGATGTTTAATATTCCATGATAACTAGAACGATAACTCCAGAGTCTGAATATTTTTAATCAGCATAATAAGAGGCATGTCGTTTATTTACAATGTTCAAAGTGCATAAAATTGCAATTGGATGAGAATTAACCATATTTTTTTAATGTTGAGGTTATATTTCTAGATGGAAAGCAAAGCAACATGGACGATAATAATATTCAAGAAATAAAGTATTGTTCTTTGTGGTCTGGTGATTATGGTGATTTACGATTTGGTTGTGACACCCGAAAATTCTTTTTTTCTCTTTTTGCCTTGCATTTTTGACGTGGGCAGGTATTCTTGAAAACTTTAGTAGTACTAATAATACATCATAATTAAAAAGTGAGGCTTGGTATTACTACAGCTGCTAGCATCTGTCCTGGCAATGCTGATATACAACTTGCGTGCAGGCACATCTGGCTCGACACTGTCTAAGTGTGTAAGCACCTTGACAAAGAAAGCTGGCGGCATTCTTGTTGCTTTACCTGGCAATATATTCTATAAGAGACGCTCTCATTATTTATAAAAATAGAACTTAACCCATGAAACAACCCAACACGCTTCTCTAGAGGAAGTCGTCCTCCGAAAAAGAAATCATTGAAAGTATAGATGTTCTATAAAGTGGGAGGAGATATTTCAGGCTTCCAGGGAAACAAAGAAAAAAAGTCCTTTCCCAAGGCGGCTGAAGTAATATTGTCAGAAAAATGACGAACGCCTGCGTTAGAAAGTCTCTGGATGTGGAGCGTTGTGGTGGAGAAGCTGCGCTGTGTTTGATTCAGGCTGGAGACATTTGGGTCAGATCTTTCCTTGTCTCACTGACCGTTGTAAAGGGCGGGAACGTCGGACCCTAAACCGCATTCAGCAGCACGGCCTTCCATCACATGTACATCTCATTAAATAGGAATTCGGTAGAATGACATTACACTGCAGGTATCACATGTGCCGCCCACAACGAGGAAAACACTAATGCACAGCCTGAGCACAATCACTAGAGGCTTCCATGTAGGATTTCATTTGAGTTCTGGAGGGAATGTGCTTTCTATTCTTTTGGAATATTTCAGGAAGCAGTGCGCTTTAGCACAATGTTTATAACGGGTTAATAACAGCTAGATGGCTATAACAATGTGGGATGCAGCTTAATGGAGCAGATTTCAGATGGTTTGTATTTGACGATTAATGGATTATGTTCATTC